TTAGTTTTTTAATTAGGTATTAAACATTTCTTTTTAATCAATAACATATGTTTCGAAATTTCACTGACAATCCGACAGAGTTTCTTCTATAATTCAGATATTTCTAAATTTTCTTCTTTCTGCAAAACAGCCAAAAAATTCCAATACACTTCTAATTTTAAGCATAGACTCACCATCACCACATTTCACAACTTTTCAGCTATTTCAATGGCTCTCAAATACTTTTTTTCAATTATCACTACATTTCAAAATACTCATTTAAAATAATACTTTAAAACAAATTATAATACTTTAAATTATTTAAATATGTATATAGGTATACTTTAAATATATAAAAACTATTAAATAAATTTTGATCAAACCACTTGAAATTAAAGAATATTTTTTAAAAAAATCATTTTCTTAAGAAGAAAATTAACCACAATTCCATTTATCAATTTCTAAAACACTTTTTCAAAACCCATCAAATTTTATCTCAAATTTCCTTCCCTCCCTTTTTTTTTAAAACATCTTTACTTCACAATTCTCCAATTCTTTTCAACTTTCAACATACCTTCTATATGCTCACTCCACATGAATGATAGTTCATTCCTCAATTATTTTAGGCAATCAATTATTTATACTGAATTTAACAAACAATTATCATAGAAGCATCATCACACATAAACTTAATCTCAAAAAATAATATCAAACAATTGTACACTAAGTATGGAAATAATTATAAATTTCTTCAAATAATTTACACACACATAGCAAGGAATAAAACACTCTATCTCCCAATGTTTTTCTACAACACTCTTGAAAATAGATATATCCTTTCTTACCTTGAAATGTATACCAATTTTTCTCATCAACGTCTTCTTTTCACCACTTCTCAAATCACGATCCTAACCAAATAATTACACATAATTATGATCAATGTTAAGAGGCATTAATCACCCAATCCTCTACTAGTGAGTTGAAACTATCATTTTCTAATCTTCACAAAAATAGCTTACGAGTCTTATAATTGTTTTTTATGATGTAAATGGAATACTATAAGCCTAAAGGTGATTAAAAATAATTATTTTTCCCTCATAACATTCTTGGGACAACACCTCTAGACCAAGGGTTTTGAACCCTCAAATGCATTTTTAACAAAACAAAAAGTACCAAAATTATTTATGATAAAACATAAAAGGATTAAGCAAATAAAAACATAATTTAGAAACAAAAATTTTGGATAAAATTTCACCCTCATGCCACTGTTCCAGCATCCAAAAAGAGGGAAAAAAATAAAAAATTAATCAGTTCAAAGTGTTCAAAATGATAAAAATAGGTGGAATATTAAAATTTTTTAATGAACTTACTTGGAAATTTAAGGGATTAAGACCAAAGATGATCAAAGTTTCTTGGGAGAAAGAAAATGGACTTACAGAAGTGAAGGAAAGAAGCGGGAAGCTTTAGAGACTAATCCTTATCTTAAATAGCAAAAATAATAATATAATATTAGAATTTTCACTAATTTTTTTGTAATTAATTGAAACAATTAGATAAAATCTCAAAATTTAAAAATAATCATGAAATATATTAAAAATAATTATAAAATAATTTTTGACACTATTGATTCTTTAGTTGGTGTCTAAGAATTTTACACAATTTCTACTTGAGCATATAACTAATTTACTTAAAATTAACTAGAAAATCCAAAAATGCTCATTAATTACAAAAAAAATTATTTTTGTATTCCAAATAATATTTATAAATAAAATATAATTTTTTTATAATTTTATTATTATTATTATTATTGAAATAAAATGTTATTTTTAGCTTTATACAACAATTTTAACCAATACAAATTGACACTTTTTGAAATTTAAAAATTACCAAATATTTCTAAAAAATATACCTAACAATTTTATCTAAAGTATCTCATGTTAATTCTATCACAATTTTTTTCCAAAAAAATCAAGAACTATACTTTAACTTAGAACTATATTAATAAATTAATTGTTTAGCAAAAATAAAGATGTTACAACGAGTCTCAACAAATATTTGAAAAGGCCAATAAGTCATTTCAATATTAGCCTTGAAAGCACTATCTCTCATTTCTTCTATGATCCTAATATTGTCAAGATCTTTTACAATAATGGAACTAATATGTGCAAGTGCTTTTAAGATAAGAAATTTAAATTTGGGTTTTTTTTTTTTTTTTGGTTATTGAAGGTATGGAGGAAGAAGATGTTTTCCTTTTGGGAGAAGTTTGGGTGATTTTTGGTTATTTCTATGAGGGTTTTGATTGAGATGTTGTTGAGGTGCAGATGGTGTCGATATCGCAATTGATCGTTGCTAACGAGTCAAAACAACTCTAATTGGTTGCTTATATTCTTTGTCATCAAGACAATAACAATGGGTTAAACATTCATTTGGGAATGCCTTCTTTATTTACTATGGGTTTCAACACATGAATATCTATTCGTTTAATGTTGGTGACTATAAACTTTATTCCAACTACCACTTATTCATGTCCTATTACTTTATATGATGATTATGCATTTTGGGAACAACATTCTATAAATAATCTTCTATTTCTTGTCAAAACAGAAGAGAAAGTAATGAAGAAGAACATATCAAAAACTTATCTGAATACATGTCATAAGATGAAAAATGTAAAATATGACTAACTTTGTGATGGTGCCTTTGGCACTCTTCATATGCACTACAATATATAGTATAATTGAGTGTAGGATCCTTATAAGTGGTCTTGTAGCTACAAACTTCATCTTCTTAGAGAGTTATGTGTATTGAACAAAATCTTGCTAATTTTGTTTTAGAATAGTTAAGGTGCTTTCCCAATCTTTTTGTAAAGACTTTCAATGTGTGTGAACAACCACTTTAACCAATATATCTTAAAAGATGATCACCGAAAAATTTCCTATGGTGCTCACTAGAGTGTCATCCGCTTTTCTAGCATTGTCCTAGATCTTATGATACAATCTGCACACTTGAATGAGTTTTGCATTACAAACTAATGGCATTATACAACCTTCGGTATTGCAATAATATTAATGTTATGTCAATTTTATATGTTTGATAACATTTTTTTACTTTAAAATAAATAAATTAATATAATCAGATATTCAAAGATTTTATAATCTGTGCAATTATTAATATGAATAGCTTAAATTATGACATTATTGTAATTAAAAATTATAATATTTAAGTATTAACAAATTTATAATTATCTATTTGGTGCAAACTTTTTTTATAACTTTATTTAATTGATTTTAAATAAAACATATATTTTTGTAATTCTTTTAAAAGAATTTTTTAATAATCATTTTAAAATAATTAATAGCTAAACATGCTCCAACTATAACGTATAATTGTCGTGTTTGGATATGGATTCAGTATAAAGATTTTTTCAACTTCTGTTTACCGGATTAAGATGATTTAGTTACTTAAAAGTATGTTAAATTAATTTTTGTTAAATAAATGTGTTTTAAACTATGTTTTAGAAGTGAAAGAATTTTTTATTATATATTATAAATGTTATAATAAGTTTTACTGTAAACTTAATTTTGAAATAGAAATTTTATACTTAAGAATATTTTTATTTTAATATATTTTTAACAAAAATTAAATCTTGTAAAACCAAATATCTTATTTGTATTAAAATTTTGTATACATAGATGAAGAAAAACTATGTAATTTAAGATAATTTTTTGAAATACAAAAAATAGTTGTGAAGTTGTTGAAAGAAGTAAAATAAAAGATGAAAAAAATATAATAGTTTTTTTTTATAAGTATCAAATTTTTGAAAATTATATTGAAGATTAAGATTGAGTTTAATAACACGAGTTTGTTGCTAATTTAATTTCTTTTAAAATAAACTAGTAAAATTGTTTAACAAGTGTAAATACAGAAAATTTAAAAGATTGAAAAGCTAATTATTAAAAAAAAATATTAACATAATTTTCAATTTATAGCTGTTAATAATTTTACTTTATTTTTATTTTTTGATAAATTATACAAAAGTTCAAAATTTTAACTCTCTCTCCCCTCGATCAATCTAATTTTATATCAATATAAATTTACATATTTTTTTAGTTATTTAATACAAATAATTAGTTTTATCAAACAATTTTAATTCATTCAACTGCTTAAAAAATTATAAATTTATATAAATTGTGAGTTATAAATTACAAATTTTGGATCTAAAGTTGCTCTGACTATTATAATAACTTTTATATTTAGCACTAATTTTTCTTTTATTTTTCTCTTGTACTTTGTAGAATAATAATATGATATAATAACTTAAACATACTCAATATGTACCAATGTAAAAAAAGAAAAGAAAGAAAAAAATGTAAAAAAAGAATATGATATAATAACTTAAACATACTCAATATGTACCAATGTAAAAAAAGAAAAGAAAGAAAAAATATAAAAAAAGAATAAAAAAAAGAAGAATAGAAAAAAATAACTGTTATTAATAATTAATGTAAAATAAAAAAAAATAAGAATATAAAAAAATGGTATTAATAATTAATATAAAAATAAAGTTAAAAGAGAAAAATACGAAAAAACAAGAGAAAGAAAAATATACGTAAAATAAGTAAAAAAAATTGCATAAGAAAAAGAGAAAACAATAGAAGAAAGAGGAAAGTACTTGAAAACAGGAACTATGGAAATACGACAAGTAAAAATGTATATTTATACATTATGATATTTAAAATTTAAATTTTTGGAATATAAGTTACGAATTAAAGTTGGACAAATTGAGTTAATCAAAGTTCCAAATGTTCATTCAATAGCGCAATTTCAATTTTAACGTCAAAAGGAAAACTAACAGAGAAATTTTAAAATATTGAGTAATAAATTACATGATCACACAATCTGGCAACGGTATATAGTGGCTCTTGCACTCTCAAGCAACAGGTAGATTGGGGTGGCGAAGCAACATAACCAAGTTATGTATGCATCTGTAAAGTTCAGTTACATTCATTTGTGCAAATGCAATGTTTAAGCTTGTTCGTCGGAGAAGCATCCCCATCACTGTCACTCTCAACAACCCTTTATCACTCTCCACATCCACCCCTTCTTCCCATACTAACGCCATCATCCACATCCTCACATCTTCCAACACCTTCGCACAAGCCACCTCTCTCACCAAACAATGCCTCCAAAACTCACGCACTACCTGTTCTTCCCTCTTCCACGCTCTCACACGCGCCCAACTCACGCCCCGCGCGTTTGGGGTTCTCATACTCGCGTTCTCCCAACTTGGTCTCGCCGAGGAAGCCCTGTGGTTCTACAAAAACTTAGTTTCTTTGCCTCCGTTACAGCCTTGCAATGCGCTTCTTCATGCGTTGGTCAAAACGCGGAGGTTTGATTCCGTGTGGCAGGTGTATGGTGACATGGTGTCGCGCGGGTTTTCCCCCACCGCTATCACCTATGGCATTTTGATGCACTGTTCGTGCAACCAAGGTGATGTTAGCAACGCACGCAAGATGTTCGATGAAATGTTTAAGAGGGGTATTGAACCCACGGTTGTGGTTTACACTATTCTGATTCGTGGCTTTTGCAATGAGGGTCAAATGGAAGAAGCAGAGCGTGTGTTTGGACTAATGAGGGAATCTAGAGTGGTGGCACCCAATCTGTACACTTATAAGACCCTCATGGATGGGTATTGCAAGATGGGTGATGTTAAACGAGTTTTTTATTTGTATTGCGATTTGCTAAAGCATGGCTTGCACCCTGATGTTGTGATTTTTGCTACTTTGATAGATGTTCTTTGCAAGATGGGAGATTTGACGGCTGCGAGAAACTGTTTTGCTTACATGGCTAAGTTTGGTGTTGCTCCTAATATATATGCTTATAATTCTTTGATTGATGGATACTGTAAGGTGGGGAACTTGCCTGAAGCAATGCATTTGCAAGTAGAAATGGAAAGGTGTGAAATCTTATCAGATGTTTTCACGTACAATATACTCATTAAGGGTCTATGTGATGAAGATAGAGTGGAAGAAGCTGAGGATTTAATGGAGAAAATGGACAATGTTGGGATCCTTGCCAATTCTGTGACATACAATGTGATGATTGATGGATTCTGTAAAAGTGGGGATATGGATAAGGCTATTGAGGTGTGTTCTCGAATGACTGAACGGAAAATTGAACCTGATGTTATCACCTTTTCTACATTAATTGACGGGTTTTGCAAGAAAGGGAACACCAAAGCTGCGATGGGCTTGTATACAGAAATGGTAATCAAAGGTCTTGTGCCTGATGTGGTAACTTACACTGCTCTGATTGATGGGCACTGCAAAGTTGGGAAAATCAAAGAGGCTTTCAGGTTGCACAAGGAGATGCTGGATGCTGGACTAACACCAAATGTGTTTACAGTTAGTTGTTTAATTGATGGTCTTTTGAAAGATGGAAGGAAATATGATGCAATCAAACTGTTTTTGGAGAAAACTGGAGCTGGTTGGTCTGGAGGTAAAGTTAACAACAGCAGCTTTTGTTCTCCAAACAGCGTGATGTTTGCCATTTTAATTCAAGGTTTATGTAAAGATGGACAGATCTTCAAGGCCACTAAGTTTTTTGCAGAAATGAGGAGCAATGGTTTCAAACCAGACATGCTAGTTTATGTTACCATGTTGCAGGCACATTTTCAATCCAAGCATATACTTGATGGAATGATGCTGCATGCAGAAATGCTGAAGATGGGTGTTGTGCGAAATACTTCCATAAATGGGGTATTGTCCAGGGGCTATCGAGTGAATGGGTATTCGAAATCAGCTCATATGTGTTCTGAGTATTTAATGGAATATGACATTCGGTTTCCCGACCCTGCAGGGTGATGCAAGTTTGGACTTTCGACTGCAAGTTAGAACCAAGAGTGCCTGTTGTGTAGGACAGAGAATATATTGACAAAGGATTTAACCAACTAATCCTCAGTTGCATAAGTCACATGCTACCGGTGCTTAATATACCATAGACGATTGCTTAACAACTAAGAAGTGATGTTCAGTAAGTTTTTCATTTGCATACAGGGTGCTTATTTGGTACTTGAGCATTTGGTGGAGCATGAATAGATCTGTTTTGATCATGACTCCATGACCATCGAGGCATGCTAGTTAACGAAAGGGACAGGGACTTGCCATCCAACTTAGATGGCTTGTGATATGATATGAGAGGCATGTTAGCATTGGATTTCTATGGTTTTCTTCTCGTCAAAAGAATATTGAGGATGGGAGAAGTGAAATCTTTTTCATGAGTTATTCTGACTTCGAGGAACACCCGTTTCTTTTGAACAAAATCCTTGATCAAATGATACTTTACCATTAACAAATTATGAATAAAAGAATTTAAAGGCTTAGTTGTATTTTTGTTTTTTATAAAAGAAGTATCTTTTAGAATTAGTTTTTTTAAAAAAATTGTGAAAATTTAATCCTTTACATTTTAAAATTAATTCTTAAATGATGTGTTAAATAATGAAAGACTAGCTTATTCCTGTAATGTGACCATTATTTTAATATTTTATTTTAGAAAATTACTATTTGTAAAAATATTTCAAAATAATATTTATATTATTTTTTCAATTAATCCAAACAGTTTTTATTATTTTACTGACATAACTTCCTTCCCTTCATTTTCTTAGCTCGCAATGCGCAAGAACTCTTCTCATCTCTTCGATTCCAAGGTTCCTTCTAAAACCTTCCATCTCATTTATTCTTCAATCTTTAATGAATTTGGGACATTTGACTCAAAATAGCATGAAAAAGTTGCCGAAGCAAGTGGAAGACAGTGTTCAAACATCCTTAAACTTTGGTACTAAGGGTGTCCCTTTCTTTTCCCTCATTTATTAATATCTTTTGTCTTCACATTTCTTTATGTATGGCGGAAGAACATTCAGCAGCAGCATCAGAAGAAGAAAGAGCATTCCAGAAGCTTCCCTCCGCATTGAAAAACCACAATGTTGTTTTCGTAAACGGCAACCCCGTCCTCGTCGCCCAGCCCCTCATGGTGGTCCGCGCTCTCACCAGCGTGACTATTGATGGGTATTAGATCGTAGACGTTGAGGTTCACTGGCACCGATCCTCCCGAACAAACGCCATATTTGGAGCTTTTCCTGCACAGCATTTTGCCATTTTGCGGGGTCGTTTTGGTTCCGAAACGACAACTACTGCGGTGGAGGACCTTATTATTTTTGCAAATATTGACACTTGGGTATTAAGTTGAATTTGGTTATCTAATTGATAATAGAAATTAATTTCAAACAATTTAAAAATAATAAGGACTAAATTCTAACGGCTTTTTTATTTAAATATTGTAAAATAAAAAACAATTTATCAAAATAGTGTATTTTTCAAATAATTTTCTTGGCGCATCGCCAAAACGGCCGGTGAAATTTATTATTTTAATATTATAAAACAAGTTTCGCCAAATGAAGGGCGAAAGTTGAAAGTAATTTCGCCATTCACTCAGCGAAACATGAACAAGTAGACACATTAGAGAGCGGTTCAGTTTGAACCACTCTCAGAATTCCATCTAAGAGAGCGGTTCATTAGGAACTGCTCTCTAATGTCCCTCTAAGAGAGCGGTTCAAACTGAACCGCTTTCAGAAGTCAATCTTGGAGAGCGGTTCAAGAATAACCACTCTCAGAAGTCCTCTAAGAGAGCGATTCCATTTAACCGCTCTTAGAATTCCATTTTAGAGAGCAGTTCAGATTGAACCGCTCTCACAGTTGCGTATTAGAGAGTGGTTCCAAATGAACCGCTCTCAGAAGTGGTAATTAGAGAGCGGTTCCTCTCAGAAGTTACTGCCAAGTTCCTCTTTCGCCATTTGTCCTGTGAAAACATTTTTAACGCAGATCTTTTGGCGAAACCTGATATTATTTATTTTCACCCCTGCCCCCTCTCATCCGAGGCTCATTTTGCAATCGAAAAACAGGAAGGAGGAAGGAGGAAGGAGAAAGGTTAGTTTTATTTATTCAATTTTGGTATTATTAATATTTTTATATTATATTTAAAATTAAATATTAAATAAAGTTTATTTGTAAAAATGCAGGATGAGTAGAATTGTTATTATTATATATTGGAATGGTAGAATATATGAAGGAAATGAAGGAGTGAGCTTTGATGGAAGTAAGAGAGTGATTCAGATACAGCGAAGAATAAGTTTTGAAGCCTTGAAAAGAAAAATTCATTTGAAACTTAATCTTAATAATAATCAAGTAATTTGTAGATTAATTTCTCGTTTTTTGATTGATGAAAATAGTAGACAATATACAGCTTTAGATATATGTGATGATGAAGATATTGATTGCATGATAAGTGCATTTGAACAACAATCTAGTAGAAATGTTATTGAGTTATATGTAGACATTGCTGTTGGTGGAAGTTCATCAGTGCCATTACAGATGATCAATTTAAATTTATCAATTTCACAACAAAATGATAACACTGTTGTGAGTTGTGATCATGTCGAAGGTAAAATTATAAATTATGTAAATGTTTTTATTAATATATGTCATATTTTGTATTGAAAGTGTAAAAATTTTTCCATTAAGGAGTTAGAAATGATGTTGATGAAGATAATGAAGATTCAGATTATGAGAGTGACACTGATGGAGATGATGAAGCAGATATTTCATTAGACAGTTCTTCCCTACTGATGCTGAAGGCGAGTTTCATTCAAACTTAAATACACAAGTAAACGAAAGTGCAGGAGGTAATGTGCAATATTGTAAAAAATTATTTGTTTTTAGTTTAATATGTAAATATTAATGGTAAATAATTTTGCAAAATATAATGCAGGAGATACTGTGATTCCTTTTTGGAATGTTACTCCACAGTATAAGTATATTAATTGGGAATATCCTGATCAAGAAATGAATGAAGAACATTGTGAAGATGTCAATTCATGGGTTGAAGGAGATTCTTTATTCGTTGGGTTGTTATTTGACAGTAAAGAAGATGTGAAAAATGCATTAAAACATTACGCAATGAAGATTCATCAAAGTTATTTTGTGGCTGAGTCAAAACCAACATGTTTGTATGTTAAATGCTTAAATCATACTTCTGGTTGTCCATGGAGAGTGAGAGCTTCATTGTTGAAAAATTCAAACAAGTGGAAAATAACGAGGTGGGGTGGTTCACATACATGTGTTAATGTTAGAATTTCTCAAGATCATCAAAAGTTAGATTTCGATTTAATTTCTTCATGCATTCTTGGTAAGACATATTTTATATATGTTATTTAATTTTTTTACAATTACATTGTTATTAATTAGACCAATTGATTCTTATGTAGGAATGGTGAATGAAGAGCCGTCAATACATATTTCATTGATACAAGAGAGAATCTGCGCTCAGTTTGGATACAAAATTTCATATAAAAAAGCTTGGATGGCGAAGCAAAAAGCTATTGTCAAATTATTTGGTGACTGAGATGAATCATACGCTACCTTGCCACATTGGTTAGAATACATGCAATTACATGCTCCTGGATCTGTTTATAAAGTTGAAACGAAGGAGTATGTGGCTTCTCATCAAGTGGATAACAGGTATAGAGTATTTGAACGAGTGTTCTGGTCATTTAAACAATGTCATGAAGCTTTTAAATTCTGCAAACCTTTATTGCAAGTGGATGGGACGTTCTTATATGGTAAGTATCGTCATACGTTGCTTATTGCAACAACTCAAGATGGAAACAATTGTGTCTTTCCAATAGCTTTTGCAATTGTTGAAGGAGAAACCTTGTCAGCATGGGAATGGTTCTTGGCATTGATTCGTTTGCATGTTACTGATAAGTCTGGAATTTGTTTGATATCAGATAGGCATCAAAGTATCAAAGGAGCTGTCTCAAATCCACACATTGGGTGGCAACCTCCAAATGCATATCATGTATACTGCATTCGTCATATTGCCAGCAACTTTAATCACCGATTTAAAAATATCGCCTTGAAGAAAGACCTCATAAAATTAGGTATGTGATTATAATTTATTTAATTTAGATATATGTTAGAGTTAATTAAATGTTTAGCCAAATTTAATCCACTGGTTTAAAAATAATGTTTTATGTGTAGGTTATACACCATCCAAGGTAATATTTGAGCAAAAGTTAAGTAGATTTCGTAATGAATCTGAAGATATACAAAGGTGGATTGATTGCATATAAAAAGAGAAATGGACATTATGTTATGATGACGATGGGCGACGTTATGGTCACATGACCACAAATCTTTCAGAAGCTGTGAATAAGGTGTTTAAAGGTGCTAGAAATATACCCATAACTACACTGGTTAAAGCCACATACGGACGTTTAGTTGAATATTTTGTAAAGCGTGGAGAAGAAGCCATATCTGACCTTCACAATGGAAACATGTTTTGTCGTATAGTAATGTTGCAAATACAAAAAAAATCAACAAGAGGCTTCATCACACCAGGTTCGTAGGTATGATGTACACAGGAAAACTTTTGAGGTTGAAGAAGCATTTAATCCAATCACGCAAAGAGGTGGACACAAATGGACAGTTATATTAGATAGAAGATATTGCGAATGTGGAAGATTTTAGTCCTATTGATATCCTTGTTCGCATGTCATAGCGGCCTGTATAGCTGTAAGTCTTAATATTTGGCAATATGTTGACCCAGTTTATTCAATAGAATATGTTGTCAATGCATACTCTCCACAGTGGCGCCCCCTTGGTAATGAATGCAACATCCATACAAACAGTGAATGGAAGTTGGTGCCTGACATTGAAAGAGCTAGAGCTAAGGGACGACCTAAGTCAACTCGTATTAGGAATGAAATGGACTGGGTTGAATCACAAACTAGACAAAGGTGTTCACGTTGTAACGAAGTTGGTCATAATCGACGTCATTGTCGTCAACAAAACTGAGTGTAATATGTAAAAGCAAAAATGATGTAATTGTAAAGATGAAGGATGTGATGAAATATTAATGCGAATGTTATTTACGCCACATACATTAGTTGTGAAAAGTTTTAAACATACAACAGTTTTACATCTCATGGCTGGTCTGCCATGTGTGCATGATGATCATGAACCTCTGGAGTCAAGATGCATTGCCTCTGTCTATCTCGAGCTCCTCGATGTGGATTTCACCGAATCAGTCCAACATCGGCAACAACCCCAAACTCAGCATTCAGATCAATCCCTAAATCCATCAGAGGCATGAAGGATGGTATAGGGTCAGCTTCCATGTATGGGGCACCTGGAGTCAAAAGAGATTGGTGATCATGAGGAGGTGTCATAAAGAAATCAGGTCGTGGACTATAATCTTCTGCTCCTGTGAATGGTGATGATGGGGGCTGTGATGAATGGTGTCTTCCCTGTGATGAATGGAAATAAGTGGGGGCATTTTGCACATTGGATGTCTGGAAAGGGAACTGTGATGGTATGGGGAAAATACCATCAGGGCGTTCTGCCATGGCTGGAACGGACCACTCTGCTGCGTACACTTGTCGTCGTCGACGTCCCAAACCCTTTCCTTCTCTTCGTTGTTGTGGATGATCTACGTGTAAGTCTGGATGTTGTGGATTGCCACTCTGCACTGGAGGATTTGAACATGAAACATGTTCTAATATGCGATCATGCTTCTTTTTTAGTGATAGGAGAGTCTCAGACAAGTCCTTCAACTCTTCAAAGGTAAAATCATTTTGTCCATCAGTACTTAAGTAATGCAATCTCTCCATCGCATCACCCTGAAAATGAAATGAGTTTAACATATTTGTATACTACAAAATTGTCTCAATAATTAAATAAAATAACAACATACCGACAGAGCTGATATGGCTGCATCCCTGGTCATCCAACGACGAGTGTGAGTAATATACCATCGCATGTATTCTGAATTAGAACTGAGTAATCCATACTGCATCTCATTAGCCATAACCCACAAGCGTCTACTCTCCCAAATATCTAAAATAGCACCGAATTTTGCTGACCAATTTTCTCCAGTCTTTCCTCTAAGGGTAAGGTCATGAAGCTGGTCAAGTTGATAAGGAGCCCTTGGTATATGCTGAACCATACCAAACTGACGCATCACTCGGTCAGGTTGATGCCACTCACAAACTTGAAAACATATAAGTGGCACAATCGCCCTCCATAAATCCATACCGTCTCTACAGATGGGTGGAAGCATGTTGATAAGTTCCATGTTGTATGGCACCTATATAATCTACATGAAAGAATAAAAATACGATAAACACCATTAATGATATCTAATTTTATTTACCTATTTTAGCATAAATTAGGCTATATTACCTCATCACGTCGTACACGATCAAAGAGATATCTGTAGTACTGTACATCTTTCCTTCCTTTCCTCATTCCTTGTGACAACCATCTGCAAATAATGTTTAATAAAAATATTACATGATCGATAAATAACATTATATATAATGTATGCATAGACAGACAATAACAATAACAATAAAAACTTACCTGACACCGTACGGAAGATTGAGACGTGTATAGAGGGGATTACTAGGTGCTATATCAGGAAATCTATCCCAAGCCCACATCACAACCAACGCAGCAAGTCCTCTAATAGCAACACGATCAATGTTAGTGGCCATGCATAGCTCTCGGTACAAATAACCTAGAACTGCTGAGCCCCAACTATACTGACCGGTCAACTCAAAATCTTCAAGTAAAGGTAAGTATCTAACAGATACTCTACTACTAGAGTGATCAGCAAGAATGAACCCTCCAATGAGCCTCAATATATATGCCCTAGCAAATCGAGTAATCTGCATAGGACTGTGATTATGCATACTAATATGAGTAAAGTGGATGTCTAACCAGCTTATCTTCAAGAAACTCCCTACAAAATGCTCAGGTCCTGGTCTGATACCTAAGCTGTCTTCCACAATCTGCGCCCAATCACCTCCAGTAGGTGCTATAACTGGTCTCCCATCTATACGTAATCCTAACAGGATTGCAACATCTTGAAGAGTAATAGTACACTCTCCAGGGGGCATGTGGAAGGTATGCGTCTCAAGCCTCCACCTCTCCACTAATGCAGTAATCAACCCCACATCTAGGGAAAACTGGGATAAGTTAGCCATTCCAATAAACCCTGCTAACTCCAGATGAGGAATAATTTCTTCAAGAACACCCTCTAGTCCACCAGGAATATTTTGACTTTTCCTGACCCTCAACGTCGGGTGATCACGTCCATCCCAAACATGCTCAGAAACATGAATACTCTGAAACCGAAGAAGTGATGGATCTTCTGGACCATGATTAATAACCCGACTCTGTCCTGAAGATGATGCCATTTATACAAAAAAAATATATTAATATACGAGTGTGATTTAACTGATTTCATAATTTCTTTCTATTCTTATAAATATATAACTAATATAACATGACTAATTATATTATTCAAACATATTATATAAATTTTATTTTAAATTATGTATTAATACAAACATATTATATCATTTTTTATTTAATATTATCACTATTATGACATTATTTACCTATAATTTCGTTTTCAATTTTATTTATCATATACTATTTTTTTAAGTCTACAATAATTACATAATAACAAATTCTATATTTCTATACTACACAAATTGATAAATGAGATCAAAATTTTACTAACCTTAATAAATATTTACCACTATTTTTTACTGTACTACACCCCCTGCATATTATAAAAAAAAATTAAAAAGTCAATTTTTTCAACTTTTTACATATTTTTAAAAACATATAGAACATAAATTAATAGATAAATATAATAATAATAATTATTTTTACCTCAGATAAATGCTTTAAAACTTCATAATTTTTACCACAAATAAAGCAAAAAGAACAAACTATACGAGGGCCAGTGACGGAAAGGGAAGCAGAAAAATCAAATGTGGAAATGGAGGAGAAGGGGGGAAGAAAAGAAGAAAGACGGGGCTGGGCGAAATAACTTTCGCCATAGCAGTTGCGAAATTTCCATGATCTTAGCACGTCTCCCAAATGCTCTCCAACCGTTCATTTTAATTGATGAATTTATTTTTACAAGTTTTGCTCTGTATTTGACGAAACAAGGTCAGCTTTGCGTCGATTTTGGCGAAACTGTCCGCGAGATTAGAGAGCAGTTCAAAATAAACCGTTCTCTAAGAGGACTTCTGAGAGCGGTTCTTGTGAAACCGCTCTCTTATAAGCACTTCTGAGAGCGGTTCTTAGGAACCGCTATCTTAGTAGAACTTCTGAGAGTGGTTCATTAGGAACCGCTCTCTAATGCTTCTACTTCGTTCAACTTTCGCCCTTCGTGTGGTGAAACTTGTTTTATAATATTAAAATAATAAGTTTCGCCAGCTGTTTTGGCGATACGTGTGTGCTCCAACCCCAGACAAGGAAATTGTTTAAAAAATACACTATTTTGATAAATTGTTTTTTATTTTACAATATTTAAATAAAAAAGCCAAATTCTAACATATATTTTCACAAACACTAATTCTAAAAATACTACTTTTATATTTACTAAAATTATAATTAAGTGAAATTTAAATTTGAGTACAACACCAACTTTATTTCTGCTCCTTCATCTTTATTTTACTTCAAAGTAATGTTACGAACTTTAAAGCTCTATGCTAAAAAAAAACACACACTATTGAATCCTCGCAGAAGCTCGGGTTTGGCATTGCCAAGTACGTAAGTCGTCTGAAGAATATAAAAATAAGAGCTGAATTGTACAAAATTTTCAGTGTGTATCTTTATGAGTGATTAAATAATAGAGTAATCATTTTAATCCTTTCTTTATTAAAATTTTACTTAATCTTTGACTTTATAAAATAATATTCATTTTAGTTTTTTTTTTATATAAAATGACAATAAAAATTTATGTTAAAAATTAATTTTGTTTATTATGTGAAAAAATTGGAAAAAAAAAACTATTCATTCTTGTTTGGCATATTTTAGAAAATCAACTTATAATATTTGATTATTTTTTTTTACAAAAGTAATAACTTATTTGGAATAACAATGTTTTAGAGCTTATGATTAAAAAATTATCTGCTTGTTTTTTTTATCTTTTATGTTCTCATTTTATCTTTAAATATTAATTATTTTAAAAGACAAATTAATCTGTTAGTTTTTATAGTTTCCTAAAATTCTTAATTAAATTCTCATAATTTAAAAACTTCTAATTAAATTTTTAATAATCATTTTTGTTATATATTTGTTAAATATTAATAATGTGATATTTTAAATTTGATAACCTGTTTTTTTTTTCTCATTTAAATATTCTTTTTTTTTTACAATTCTCTTTTATTTCAATATAAAAATAATTATTTTATACAATTCAAACGCAATAGAATATTTTAATATTATTTTCATCAAACATATTAAAAAAGAAAACTTATTTTATAAAATTCATTATCATAGTAATTGATTATAAATATAATCAATTATTAAAATAATTTAGATGTGAAAATTTGCTGGAGAGAGGATTCAAACTATGTTCATAATAGGTTTTGCTAGTTTTCACTAAATAAAGTTTTATTTGAGAATTTATAAAAAAGAGAAAGATACAAGAATTATAGTAAAATAAATCTATTATTTTTCTCTATTCTCACTCTCAAATACACTCAAATACAGCCTTTAAGTTATTTGCTCACAGCACACTGGAACTTTCAAATAAAAACATGCCAATAAAAGAGGTTGCAGCTGATTGAAGTCGGGTGGGTTTGTCAATAACTTTAGCCCAACAGAAGGTGTAAAGGATGTCAATTATACACATAACATGGCAGAACTGAATTAGTGAGTTGTGAAATTCATGACACACTTGAAATGGTTCAACACTTTGCTTCAAAGGAGTCAGAACAAGTTGTTTCATGGCTCCATGTCCACATGGCATCACAAAGCTGATTTCCACATTAACCTCAAACCACCAAAGCCAAACCAGACCCTTAAGAAGCACCTTGAGTGCAATAGCCACACCAAAGTGCTGTTACTCTTCAGATTCTTCTTAAGAAAAAGACCCACTTTCAACTCCACTGATAGCTATTCTCTACTCTATGCCCTCCAAGCCTGCAAACAGAAACATTCCTCCATCCAAGGAAAACAATTGCATGCCCTCATCATAAAACTTGGCCACCAAACCATTGTTCAACTTCAGACATCTCTTTTGAAAGTGTATGCCGAACAAGGCAACCTTAGTAATGCACACCAAGTTTTTGATGAAATACCATTCAAGAACATCATATGCTGGACATCTTTGATTTCTGCCTATGTTGACCATCACAAGCACAACCAGGCTTTGCAACTGTTTAGGTTGATGCTGATGAACAATGTGGAACCTGATCAGGTCACTGTGACTGTTGCTCTCTCTGCCTGTGCTGAGACTGGGGCACTTGAAATGGGTGAATGGATCCATGCTTTTGTGCAGCATAAACAAGGGCTGAACAGAGATTTGTGTTTGAATAATGCTCTTATAAATATGTATGCTAAATGTGGGGATATTGCAACTGCCAGGAAGTTGTTTGATAGCATGAGAAACAAAGATGTCACGACTTGGACTTCCATGATTGTGGGGCACGGGCTGCATGGGCAAGCACATGAGGCTCTTCAACTTTTCTCAGAAATGAAGGACAGGGAAAATTGGAGTTCCTACGGTAATGTCATAACTCCAAATGATGTAACTTTCTTAGGAGTCTTAATGGCTTGCAGTCATGCAGGTCTAGTTGAGGAAGGGAAGCGCCATTTCAGAAGTATGAGTGAAGATTATGGTATAGAGCCAAGAGAGCCTCACTTTGGGTGCATGGTGGATCTTTTATGCAGAGGTGGGCATCTGAGAGATGCCTATGACTTCATTATAGAGATGCCAGTGCCGCCAAATGCAGTAGTCTGGCGAAACTTGCTGGGAGCATGCTGCCTCCATGGCGAATTAGAGCTAGCAGTGGAAGTTTGGCATAAGCTGCTCAAGTTGGATCCTAACTATGTGGGTGATAGTGTTTCTATGTCTAATATTTATGCAAATAAAGGCTTGTGGAATAAGAAGGTGATTGTTAGGAATCAGATAAAACAGTCAAGGGCTCCTGGCTGCAGCTCAATTGAGGTTGAAAGTGGGGTTAGTGAATTTGTGACTGCAGATGATGATCATCCTTTCGTGACAGATAAGTGATTTCTTGGGTATTTCAGCTGAACCACGAAAGCTTATGGTTATCTGCCAAGGCCTTCTAGCCTGTTAAACACGCATCAAGGGTAGCTTAAAAATACAAGCAAATTCAGTAAAGCTGTTTTGTTTGTTTTCTTTTCTTCTCCCAGCCCCAATCCATTCTTAGTTGTAAGTAAAAACAGAATAGAAAGCAACTTAGAGGCATTCAACAACAAAAGGGGTACTAAGTTACTTATATCTCACCAACGTACCAAATTCAACTGTGAAGTATAGTATGGGGGTCAAAATGAGAGTTAAAAGATTCACAAGTGTTTTTATGTTTTGTATGTTTATGGCAAAATTGCATTGTCATTGGTTGGTTAGGCCACCCAAATTGTGTAGGGTGGTGCATTATAGAGAATTCTTATTGTTGTTAAATGCATTCAACTTTAACTATAACATAAAAAATATGGTGTTGAAGTAAAAGATAATATAATCTACATAGTGCACACATTTAATGATAAAGAGTAAGGTATCTCTTACTCCAAAATCACCTAATGGCTTTTTGTAGAGATGGCCAAAACAAGTTCATAGATGAAGCATTTGCACTCATCTTTAATATTTAGTGTAGATTAACCGGGTAATAACTATGATGCAAGTTGCAAAACAGTAGAGGTGTTTGAATTAACTTATTTATATTTAAATTAACATAGGTGCACGTAAATAATTGATTTAGGATTGTTACAACTTCACTTATATTTTTGAGTCTTAGTAAATGTAGCTGTGTTAATACTTGTAAGGAGAATTTTACCACTCATAGAGATCCTACTTGACTCTAACAAAATTGCCTTCAGTGGATGATACCTGCTATCTAAATTTAAAATAAAAATAAAAATAAAAATAAAAATAACATATTGTGCATACATATTCCAAATGCCACATGATTTACATTGAACTTGCTAATTCTCCTTGAAACATGATTACTTTTAGCTTCTGAATCCTATCACTTCATAATAGAGTTGACTTGCTTAATATGTGGCTTGCATGGGATTGACCAAAGTAAACTCTTGGTCTACAAAATTCGCGAGTTAAGACATTTTTGTTTGTAAGCATAAATTTATAGAAGGAATGTAATTTTAGCCAACGTTTAAAATTCTCTCTATCAAAATATCTTGCTTGGGTATTTGATAAAAGAAAATTTGAAATTCTTGAGTAATTGGAGAGGGAATTTTAATTGTCAAATTTGGAGAAATTAAAATAACACCAAAATAGAAGGAATTCTAAAATCTAGACTCATGTCCACTGCAGTTTTCATTACTTTTCTAATTTTACCGCAAGCTTTTTCTCTTCTCTGATCTCTTTGAAATGCTTCTTTTCTTGGTTTCTTCCATTACTGCTATGGCTCTCCTTTTATTCTCATTCTCTTCATAAGCTTTTGTGACAGTTTTTCTGTGCTTATCATTCCCAATGATTCAAGGCATTAATCTGAAATATGGTTGAGGTTTTTGTTTTGTGATTTCTACTCCATGATTCTTACTCTACAGATTTGAGCTTTTGAAGCTAAGGATTGCGAGAAGATTTAATTTGCACATATCTCCTTTTTTTTTTTTTTTATCTATTCAATTAATTATTGAGTTATTGATTATGAGTTTTTTTTTATTATTGATCTTACATAAAACTGTTAGAATTAATATTTTTTATGATATTGGCCTTGAAATTAGAGATATTGCCATTAAATTTTCATTTTTTTTTCTCGAGTTATTTTGATATGAACCAGAAGGAGTAGTAAAACCACCTGCGTTAACAATCCAAACCAAAAAGTTTTAATAAAGACAATTTAATTACTCTATCCAAACCAAAATAATAATAAGAATTAAAATGATGCAATTTAAAAAGTTTAAATTCTCTAAAATTTCGAATTGTTCTTTCCAAACATCAGATAAAGCCTCCGTTCGGATATGAATATGAAGAAATGATTGATTAGTAAATTGGCAAGTGGATCCATAGAAAATGTTCTCTGTTGCTTCATATATCAGTTGAAATGTGTAAATTTGGGTTTATATGTAAAAATATAACGTTACTCTTACAAGATGTTTGTGCTGGTTAAAAATTTATTCCATCTTATTTATTGAATTTTATGTGTGACTGAATTTATTTTGTCATATCTAAGAATTAAATGTATATTGTCACCTAATTTTGTGTTCATTTTATTATTTATTTGTGTGCATTATAGTAGATTCTGATCATACAATAGGTAGACATGGAAGAGGTAATATATTGAGGCTAACGAGAGACAAACCTGGAGATCTTTGGGTGTTTCTATTTCATCTTTACTCCACATTTGAAAAGTAGACTTAACAAGAAATCAAAAGGCCTTTAGTGCTCTTTAAATTAATTATGTATGAGGATAATTAATCTCTAAGGGTGATAACTGATAAGTTTATATTTTGACATGCTTTTGTAGCCTATTTTTATGTACTTGATCCTAATTTGAATGAGTTTTGCATTGATTATTCCACAAATTATCGCAATTTAATATGTTAAGAGCTCTAATAGATTATTAAGGTGTTTTAAGCATGAATTGATGAAAAATAGGACAAACACGTCCATACTTCGAGTATATGCAAGACCGTGCAAATTGGTGTGCACGACTGTGCTCTTATTTTGGTACATCTAACTTGAAGGTTTTAAGGGACCTACGAAGAGAGGATTTGAATTTGAAATTTGGCAAATCATATCTTTTTCTTTTGATACGTCATATTTGTATATTTCTTAGAAGCAACAACCTTCATCCCTAATAGACTCTAAACCATATTTAAAGAACCTTGAGGGCTACGACTTGGATATCTTGGTTTTGATATAATTTTGATGGTACTTGGAGTCATTAAGAGTGGAGGTCTGGCGAAGACAAAGAAAACTTCCTTGAAATCTAAGCAAGTGATCGAGGAAAAAAGATATGATGCCATTTTTCAATAGTATACAACTGACTCTTACATGAACAGAAATAAGGAAACCGCTCTAGTCTATCAAGTAGAGAGCAACAATCCACTAGTAACCCAAGTTGAAGCTATTACAAAGCAAGTGGAAATTCTAATGAGAGCACAAGATCAATCAATAAGACCTTCTACAATCTCAGAGTTTTAGCAATAGGAAGCAAATTTCTTAGAAAATAATTATAACTCAGGATGGTGAAGTAATTCTACATACCCTTGGGAAAATTGCCAAGGGAAACAAAATTCAAGCACCTATCGCCCTCCCTATATGTAGAACCAAGGAGAGAGACCAAAGAGGAGAAAAGCTCCCATATTTCAATCTAAATTACATGAAACTATAATGCAGAATGTGCATAGCTCTTATAAAAGAATATCAAAGCTTGAATTTCAGTTGTAGCAACAAATTGAAAGAAAGGATAAAAACTTTGCATAAATCAAATCAGAATTAAGATCACAATATTCAGAGATGGAATTACAATATTTAGATATCAAGTCACAATTGGAACAACTCACTAGCCTTTTGACTCAGAGGACGTTAGTAACATTGCCAATTCTGTGACATCTTAGTGTTCCATCAAACACGTGCATAATATAATAATGTAAAATTATAAAGTTGAAGTCTTAAAAAGAGAGTTAACATAAATAATCCTGAGTTATTAATATTATTTATTTATTTAGAATATGAAAGTCAATATTTACACACACATATATATACCTATTTCACTATATCATTCATCTCTTAATACATCATGTATGCCTATAACATTTTAAATTCTCAAAGAAAGTTAACATGAATAACCTAAGTTAAATTAATCTTAATATATTTTTTAATTCTTAATGATTATCACGTTACTATTATAAAGGAGAATTATGTGCAAATTCACCTAAAATAAATATATCTTTATTCTCAATAAGGCTTCCCCCTTTCAATTCAGTTCAATTAGTGATGTCATTAGTGAAATTTTTTTCTCGATTGTCAAGAAAATCGCTTGCTCTCATCAGCGGTTATTTATTGCTGATGGTCATTCTATTAAGCTAACGATAATTCATATACATTCTTATGATACTGTCTTCCCTTTCATATAAATTACAAGTACTCCTTATAATAACATACTTAGTTTCACGAATCATTTCTACCACAAAATCTTTACCCTAATTAACTCCATTAGTGGCACTATATGGTGTAATCATTATTAAACTAGTTTCCAATGCAACACTTATAGTCAACTTAAGTTCTGCTATATGAAGTTATTTTGTTTTTGTCACTTCTATAGAAATTTTCAAAAATTCTATCCATGACTTGACATATATCCGCGTTTGAAAAATTTATTCACAAAAATAACAACGCTGTAAGAGCTCTGATTTTCCCTACTTTCATTAAATCGTCCATTCCTAAAATCTGGAATATGTGATACATAAATACTCAAGGTTAAAGCTTTACTCTCGCGTCAAACAAATATGATTGGATCAATTCATTCTCAATATTAGGAATTAGGAAGAAGTGGCATACAACTCAAATTTATGGAAAAGATTTATATGAAATTGCTACTGAATAGTCCAGGCATAGATTAAAATAACACCTGGTTTATCATTGGAATTAGACATTGCAACACTATGTGACAAGGGAAGTATGACAAAACAAGATTCTTGTTCGATGAAAGATGTAAAGAAATGCACAACTGATCTATTAATAAGATAGACATAATAATATTATATAACCAAAAAGATACAGACTGGAAGAAAGTTCTTATATAAGGAAATGAATATATAATTCTACAATCATACAAACATCATTGACTTTACTAATAATACATATCAACAATAGTTAATTACATATCATATTTTGACCACACGTGCAAATCCAATTCTACCTGGTACATTCTTTCACCATATGAGTTCTGCCACAACGATAGCACTTTATTTGAACCTAAGGAGTTATTGTTATTAGATGAATGTTTGTTGCTTCTACTGGTGCTTTCACTTCTCTAAGATGTAGACCGATAATTATTGGCTAAATGTCCTTTGTTTCCACAATAATCACAAATCCAGAGAGATGTACGACAATCTTTAACCATGTGAGGTCCCTTACATTGGAAGCATCTAATTCTACCATGAGATTTACTATTGCTGCTATTGTCACTACAATTTGGCAGCCCACTTGCTTGAGTTTGAGTTGTGCTTTGGTAAGGCTTTCTTTCAAATATCCAGGGTTTCTTGTTATGCTTAACAGGTACTCCTACCCTATCATCCACTAGTCTGTCTTTCAAGTTAGCTTCATAGACACGAC